CCCAGGTCCCTTCCAACCCTGCAATTCTGGGAAGGCGTCAAAAGCAGTATATAGGCAGAGATGCATAAAGATCTATCCCCACCTACCAAAAGAGAATCGATGATCTTCTAGCTCATTGGCCAAGGAAAGAAACGGAAGCAGATGCAAAGGTCAGGGAAGCCAGACCGTAAAATCACCACCTCCGTCAACACAACGCTGACAAAACACACTTGGAGCCTGTCCTATGGTAGCCAAGCAAAGATCTCCACAAGGAGGGCCATGTCCGAAGTGGCTGAAGATGGAAATTAAAATAGGAAAGTTTTTGCTGCCAACTGAAGATGGATGGCTCCAAGATGATGGTTGGGAAGACAGTGCAACAGGAGACCGGGAAGGACCTCCTGGTCGACACCTCCCTTGAAGGAAAGTCTCAATCCCCAGAGAAGCGACACTGAATTGCAAAGGGCATCCAGAGAAAGGTATGAAGAAAAGTCCTTCCCAAGTGCAACGCTCACCATTAGGAGCTCCTTGCAAGACTTCCCCATCCATCTCTTACTCTTTCCTTCCCCACCTCCTGGAAACACTTGGAGACAGAGGGGTCTTGGAGGGCAGAGACGTGAGTGGGATTTTTCATTTCGGATGATCCTAAACTCATGCCAACGTGGAGATTATTAATTAAATGGGATGGTAGTGTAGCCGTCACTGAATCCAGAATTCTCCTTTACTTTTGCACTGCCTTCAAACACCCGACAGCCTCGCAGACTCCAGAGCAGAGGTAGCCTCCAGACAGAGATAAGCAAGTGTGCGCCATCGATGAACCCATCACACCAGAAATAAAGTGCAGCCTATAAACAGTATAGCCTGTCCACCTTTACCCATCACTAATATCCCATAAACCACAACATATGGAGGATGAAGTTTTCTTGTCCCCTACCCTAAGGGAAAAAGTCACACTGAGTGACCCAAGCTGCAAAAAAACCCTGTGTTTTAGTGACCAACATCTACGCCTACTTGGGTATTGCAGTCTTAAAAGCATAAGCAGCATATGCTAACCCTAACCTTGACACTGGATTTTATTCTTCCAGTACCTCTTATTTGTAGCTACTTCCCTGCACCCAACACAGAATGACGACAGCTTATGATCACCAACTTTTTTTAAGTTTATGCTATGCTTTGTTGCCCAATTTAGTCTAATCCCCATGCAGAGAGGTTTTAAAATAACAATAAAGTGCATCTAATTATGCATGTAGCAAACTCTACATTCATCACATGGAGATTATTAACTAGATGGGATGATGGCAGAGCTGTCACCAAGTCCATAACTCTCCTGTATGTATTTATACTGCCTTCAGGCACCTCTCCTCAAGGGCTCAAAGCGCTTCCACATGCTTATTGTTTGCACTGCATTTGAAGGTAGATAGAAACTTTGCAGAAAAGTTGGCCAAAGACAATGCACCCCAAGGAGTAAGTAATATTAGAATTTGGAAATGAAAAAAAAACCCCAACCACAGCAGTATTGGGATGAAGACCCAAAAGAAAAGAGGCAGGGGGGTAAGAATAAAATGACATTGCAACTGCTGAATCATCCTCTGAGCTCATCATTGTGACTAATCTTAATTCGCTTCTTGTAGGGTTTTATTTTATTTAATTATTTATTTTTAAGTGCAGAGGATTAAAATATTGCTCAGTCAGAATGATTATAGACTCCATGTCTGGCAACTGTTCAAGAGAAACCAAACAAAGCAGATGTGCTTTTCATTATGGATTAAATCAAATGAACAAATGCAGGCTTGGCCAGTGCAGATATGGCAGACTGTGCTCCAGAGCAAGTGCCCCTTTCTGAAAAAGGATCTAGTCGCTAACTTCTTTGCCTTCCAGGCTAGGTACAGACATTCAAAAAGCCCGAGGCAGAATCAACCCAAGTCGTGCGTTTTTCTGCAAGCGGTGTAGTTTACATCGGTAGCGAACAGAACGCACGTTCACACTTGGGTGCGGGAACAAGTCTCAGACCAGGTTCTGCCACGTGTGCACCGAATTTCGTTCCAGGTATAGACGGGTTTCTGATCGCTGACACTGGGAGGAGTGTAATGTCTGTACCTGGTCCCAGAGCCTACAGGTCTATTTGCTGACATTAAAGAACGCTGGGTACCTAACTTGCAGAGATGCTTCAGCAAAAAAAAAATTCCCACTGGGTGCATGTAATCCCATTCAATTTAAGGGGATTTAAATTTTAATTCAGAGATTGTAAGGGGCCAGAAGGGATCTCAGAAGATCATCGGGTCCAGCTCCCTGCACCAAGCAGGAAAGACAACTGGGTCAGGTGTCCCCAGCAAGGTGACCATCCAGCCTCCTGTTGAGGATTTCCAGGGTAGATGAATGCCCCACCTCTGGAAGGAGCTTATTGCGCAGTCTGGACACCCCAACTGTGAAGACCTTTTTCCCCCAATGTTGAGCCTGAATCGGTCTTCCAGGAGTTTGTGGCCATTACTCCCGGTTCTCCCCTTGGGTGCCCTGGTAACAGCTGCTCACCAAGCCCTTCGCCTTGTGGAAATATTGTCCTGGCCCTTTTGGAAAAGGTTGCGCAGGAGATTAAAAACCATTACAGTTCAATTATGGACATGCAAATCTTGTGGTCAGGATGAGAAGGATTTCAGCAATGCCACGTGACTTAAGGGGACAAAAGACAAAGTCCGATGGCATCTTTTGATGTTGTTACAAGCACGTATTGGTGACTTGGGATGAGGAGGGTATAACGTCAGTCCAAATGGACAAAAGCAGGAGAAAAAACAAGAGGCAGCTCAAAAGAGAAGCAGGCTTATTCTTCAAATACCAAAGGATCCTCCAAAAACATTAGCAGCATTGCTAACTCCCAAAGATGTACTCTGCAAAGAAGTGACACTGCTCCAATACCAGGCTTTAAAAAATAAAATTAAAAGCAGACAAAATTAAACCTTCATATAAAGTCAGTTAATGGCAAAGCTTAAAGAAGTGCTTCTGGTTACTTTTTCCTTAAGGCAAAAAAAAAATCACCCCTTCAGGCTACGAAGAGACTTGGGGGGCAAGGAGGAGAGAACGGTACTTGAACACGCCTGTATTACATTCTGCTACGGTTTCTAACATGCACTATATTTTTTACAGATTTATAGGGGTTTGTGTATTGTGCAGCAACTTTTACTAAGTTAAATTACTTTGCTTCCAAGGGAAGTGGTGCTGGCTCCTACCCTGGGGGTCTTTGAGAGGAGGCTGGATGAACACCTTGCCGGGGCCGTTTGACCCCAGTACTCTTTCCTGCCACGGCAGGGGGTCAGACTTGATGATCTGCTCAGGTCCCTTCTGACCCGACCAGCTATGAAACTATGAAATTAGAGGCCTCGCCAGAGTTAAAATACAAGGGTTTCAGATACTACTCATTAAATTGGAGATCATTAACCATAAACCTTCTTGAGAAGCTATGGAAGCAGGCTTTGCACTGTTACCAGCTTTGGGGAGGAAGCCCAAGTTTCAAAGCCAAAGGTAAAAAGGCCGTCTCCTTGTTTAGCCCCAAAGTTTTTTCTGAACAGCATGACACATTCAAATACATTTTCCAGATGCAAAAGCAACCCCAGGGAGGAATCCAGGGATTCTCACGTGGAATTTTTCTTCTTCCTTAGAAAGACCTTACATTTGATGCAGATCAGTGTATTCAGATGGCAAAATATAGTGTCT